TGGTGTTGGCTGGTGAAAAAAATTAACACCAGGTCAAATCTTCCCTGTGTTTTCTAAATAGTGCCCTCTGCTGACCAGTTGTGACAATGCAGTATTTTCTATATGGAAGGCAAACACAATCTGTATTATTTCTATTTTATATTTATATTTCTTTATATTCTTTCATATTTTTCCTGGGCATCTATTATGCCAAGAAGTGTTTTAGATTCTGAAGAGAAAATAGGGAGTTCATGGAAGAGGTGAAAGAGACGATATGAATTGAATTAAAAGAAAAAAAAGACATTGGAAGAAAAGAAGTTCTAGGGGAAAAATAACACAGCACCAATAAGATATGGAAACCAGGGCTGGGAGCTTATGTTTTGGTAAGTAGGATGGTCAGAGAAGCTGTCTCTGAAGAGGAGAAGAGGAGGCAACATTGCAGGGATTCAAAAGGAGTCCAAGCAGAAGCTGGGGTAGAGGAGGTGCAAGGAAACTAGAGTTATTCCTGAGGGAGAGATGCAGGCCACACCAGGCTTGTTCATGGTAAAATGCTGGCTTGGTCAGCTACTTGTTGTGGATGTAATGAAAACGTTGTCCAGTCATACCTTGAAGTATTTGCTTCTGATTTTCGATGTGTGTAATATGAGAGAAAGAATGGAAGAATTCTGTGATTCCCAGACCTGAACAGCTTGGAGGAGTGTGGTACCAGTTACAGAGATGGTGAAGAACAGTGCTCTTTGCAGGTTTGATCCTACCATGTTCAGGTTAAGTTGCTGATTAGAAATCTAAAGGGACATCTTTAGCCAACGTGATATTCAGTAGCCAAACCTAACAAGCACTTATGAATTTGCTGTGATTGTTTTTTTTTTCCATCTCATCATGGGAGTCAAGACCCTGCATCTTCAATAATATAGTTTTCGTCTAGGGCCCCTAATACTGCACAGGTTCTCATTGTGTGCTTATTGAACTTTATTGAAACTAAAGACCACTGGAACCATTTTGTGACTCTGAATCCTAGGGAAAAGACCCACATGGCTTGCAAAGTTGAGGAATTCACAGACTCACGGTTCCAGTTCAGGGTGACATCATGTCACAGAATTGCGCTGAATTTGTTTAATTTCCAAAATAGTCCCTGTTGATGAACTCTTCTCTAAGAGAGTTTCAAATAATAAAACTGAACTGCTCACTGAAAAATCCTCCAATGGGATTTCTTTATTGTCAGTGATTAGCTAACCTTTAAGAATGGTTTATGGGGGCTGGGAAGGGGGCTCAGTGGTAGAGTGCTTACCTCGCATGCATGAGGCCTTGGGTTCAATTCCTCAGCACCTCATAAACAGAAAAGGCTGGACATGGTGCTGGGGCTCAAGTGGTAGAGTGCTAGTCTTGAGCAAAAGGAACTCAGAGACAGTGCCCAGGCCCCAGAGTTCAAGCCCCACGATTGACCAAAAAAAAAAAGAATGTTTTATGTTCTTGACAGGTACTGGTAGCTCATACCTGTAATCCTAGATTCAGGAGGCTGAGATCTGAGATCATGGTTCAAAACCAACTTAGGGAGAAAAGACCATGACGCTCTGACCTCTATCCAGCAAAAGCCATAGTGGAGTGTGGCTCAAGTGGTAGAGCCTTGGGTGAGCCTTGAGTAAAAAGCCAGTTGAATGAACGGCCAGTCCACTGCCCACAGTAATCAGGTCATTGGAAGAATCAGCTCTATCTTGAGTTGCAAAGATATGTCCGGCACAAAAAAAAATGTCTGGTGGTCATCATTCCCCAAGACCCTGAAAGCTGTTCTTTTGGAAGCTAGAGAGACCAAGACAAGCCTTTGAAGTAAGGAAGAAGAACCTCCCAAGTTAAAGACTTTCTTTTAGGGCACATTTCTAATATTTCTCTTTCATTACTTTCCTTTGATGAATTTTTTGGTAGGCTGTTCTAGCTGTGGACCACACCACAGCATTTAATGATGTACTTGGCAGGTAAGCAAAGGGAATAGTGAAAGATTTCCAAACTGTCCAAAACCATTACGGTATCTTTAATGATAAGCATATTCATTAGTATTACAGCTGTTGGTGGTAATCAATTTTAAAACCTATTATGAAGACCTTGAAGCTGTTTCTCCCCTGTGAGTCTACAGATAACTTTGTTAGCATATAGAAACCACCAGCTAGATCTATGCATCTAGAGTAGATGTTATTTTCAGAAAGTAAAGTTTGGGATTTTCCGAGGACTGATCATGATATATACTGGGGCTCTGTCTAGCAGTAAGTGTTGGGATGGCTACTAGCAAAGAGTCAGACAATGCCCAACACAGGAAATCAAGCCAGGAGCATGCAGAGCACAAGAGGAGGCCAGCATGTTTGCAAATAGTGCGTCCAGTATTGATGGACAACACATTACCCTTGACTGGTATTTTTTAGGCAGGAATAAACAGTGAGGCTGGTAGTTCTTACGAGATAGTTATACGTGAGAACATTGTTCTTATGACTTGCAAATGTAACAAAACAATCCTCACTTGAACTAGGATTTGCTCCTTCTGCTCATCTTGTATTGCTAATGGCTCTAGACTTTGGGAGAAGACCTCAGGGGCCCATTCCAGCTGAGTCTTTTCACTTAAGGACATCCGTATCTTGACACCATGCTCCATACATTTCATACAGGTATATGTACAAATACAAGATGAACACTGCTAACTCAACATCCAAAACTTTTTGAGGATCAACCAAGACTTCAAGTAGTTTCAGTTTGTGAAGTATTTCAGATTTTCAGATTAGGGATATGCAACCTGTAAAGGCTCTGCACATATTCCAAAATCCACAAAACTCAAAAAGGCATAAAACTCTAAAATCTGAAATTTCAGATAGTATTTCAGATAGTAGATATTGTGTGTGCATGAGAGAGAGATAAACGTAGTTTTGAGACTGAACAGCAATTATCAATCCTGCACACACTTGCAAAGGATGACTAAAGCTGGATACAAGATTCAAACTTCTGCACCATGAAACAAATCGGTGAGCTTAGTGATTGAATCTGCTTATCTGAAATCAAATTGGCCACTACTGGTAGTAATAAGAACATTAAGTCATCTCTTTGGTGTATTATAATGTCTTTGTTCACAGAGGCGAAGATCCAGACTCACAGGGAAAAGAAAATGTGTTTGGGTCCAGAAACATGGATTAAATCTCATTTCCATCAGTGAACCAGTATGATGCCAGGAAAATGATTTAATCCCTCTGAAATGATTTGTAAATTGTATTAAAATGGAATAGCAAGACATGTCTCCCCAAAACAGTGGGTTTACCCTGAACTCTAGCCCCATCCCTTACACTCGGGATTATCAGAAACCCACATGGTTTCAACAGCTCCATTTTTCAGTGTTCAAAACAGGCCCCCAACACAGTATGCTGAGCCTTCACTTTTTCCTTCTGTGACTCAGTAACTAAGTTTTTCTTCTTTTTGGTCCAGTACCATAAGAAGAAAAATAAACTAAAATTTTTTCGAGGGTTTTTTGTTGTTGTTGTTGTTTACATGGTTTTTGTTCAAAGCTCTTTGGTGTCCTCAACAAGGCAGCCCAAATTACCAAGCCCATCACATCTAGGAGGATCATTGATAACTGGCTTTCAAAATGACTTCATTGGAACAACTGTGGTGACTTCACACCTGTAATCCCAAGCTACCCTGGAGGCAGACATAGGAGTATAGCAGTCCTAGGCTGGCTGAGCAAAAGCTCAAGACCCTATATGAAAGATAAATGAACATAAGAATGGCTGAGACATGATTCAAGTGGTAGGAGACCTGCCAAGCAAGCGTCAGGTCCTGCATTGAAACACCACTAATAATAAAGGAGTTGGAGAAATTGGATTTCCATGAGAATCAAACTGTTACAAAGCCAAAGTACATGTCAGCCTAATCTAATGGCAACAATAAAGGTTGGCCTTAGAGTTTGTATACCCTACGCACCACTTTGCTCATACATCCCTGCTTCCAGGAATCTCCCTTGTTGGTGACCACAACAACCCAGAATAGCATATTCTTACCTAAGACTTCTTGCTTGCCACTGCCCTAAACTGCTGTCTTTCCTCTGCCTAGTACCTTTATACTGTGCGGAGACTCATAATCATACCTGCTGTACTAATGGACCATCCTTATACAGATGCCTCCCATCCACTTACTGTGAACTCCAAAGGGCCACAGTTACCTTCCCCTGACATCTTAGCACCAAACCCAAGCTATAGACAATGGGCAGCTATTGAGAGAGGATTCTGGACTTAGCCTGTGTCTGCTATTTTTCCAACACAGACTGGTTTGAGTACATAAGGCTTGATTTGTGATGGACCGTGTACTTAAGTCCTCTTTATCCCAATCGTGTCAGTCCCCACCCCGCAACTCCCACCTCTCCAAATCCTGTATGTCCTCCAGCATTGTGGGAAAATCTTCCCTGGTAACCCCAGCCCTTACAGACTCAGTAAATGTTCATCAGCTTACAACCTTATGCCAAGCCCCCTTTTAAGGGTTGGGGCACACCGCTATAAACACATAGGTACCTTCCTCATGGAGCCTTTGTCTCCTGGCTCATTCTGAGTCATTTCAGTCATATATAATAATAGCCGCTGTCCAGTGAGCTAGCACAAGGCCACAGCAGGGCCCCTGGGTCGCCTGCTGAGCCTGCCTCATGGCCAAACACTCAGTGGCCATCTGGTCTGGGTTGGAGGTCCATGTCTTGTTTTAACAGAGATTTTTCTGTACAGCTAAAAGTAAGATATTTTAAATGTTGAATGGACTTTTAGACTGGACAGATTTCTCATGGGCTTCCACTCAGCATCTATCTATGGTAAGTCCGGTTATGGCAGACCATTTGGGAGCTCCTTTTGGCCTGGGAGAGGTTTGTAAATCAAGTCCTTGCAGCCTCTGTGTGTGTGTGCGTGCGTGCACGCGTGTATGCGTGTTGTTGTTGTTATTATTAAACAGAACCAGAATAAATTATTTTCCTGCATTGCCTCCTTTCCCTCTCCCTGCCTCTGTTCCCACAGGTCAGCGTTGAAGTGTTGGTAGAGTATCCATTCTTCGTGTTTGGACAGGGCTGGTCATCCTGCTGTCCAGAGAGAACGAGCCAGCTCTTTGATTTACCATGTTCCAAACTCTCAGTTGGGGACGTCTGCATCTCGCTCACCCTCAAGAACCTGAAGAATGGCTCTGTTAAAAAGAGCCAGCCCGTGGATCCTGCCAGCGTTCTGCTGAAACACGCCAAGCCCGACAGCCTGGTGGGCAGTAGACACAGGTATGCCGAGCAGGAAAACGGAATTAATCCCGGAAGTACCCAGGTACTCTCTGAGAACGGTGAACTGAAGTTTCCAGAGAGAACAGGATTGCCTGCAGCATCCTTCCTCACCAAAACAGAACCCAGCAAGCCCACAGCCACGAGGAAGAGGAGGTGGTCAGCACCCGAGACCCGCAAACTGGAGAAGTCAGAAGATGAGCCACCTTTGACTCTTCCCAAGCCTTCTCTAATTCCTCAGGAGGTTAAGATCTGCATTGAAGGCCGCTCCAACGTGGGCAAGTAGAGGCCGAGGCCTGGCAGAGGAGGTGTGGCTCCCCTCTCCATTTGTATCCAGATTACTGTACTGTAGGTTAAATAACAGTATTTCCATGTTACTCTCTTCCTTTAGGTTTCTGTTCTAACCTTGTCATTAGAGTTACAGCAGGTGTGTTTGCAGGAGGCTAGTGCATATGGTTCATCTGCAGTGTCCGTGGGGAGAAGGTGGGTGGAGGGTCTGTCAGAGCAGAGGCCACCACGCTGGCATCCAAAGTGGCATTGCGTGTGACGTCACCTGTGCCTGCCTTCCCCAGCTGCATGGAGGCATCATCCTGTGTGTACCGCCTCCCGCTAGTCTCCAGAGCGAGTTCAGTGGGAAGACACCTGCGAAGGGTTGGTGGGGGGTGCACGATGCCACGGGCAGTGAGTGAGGGTCTCTCTCTTTTCTCTGCCTCCCTCTCAGAATAGGGATTGGGGGAGGTTCAGAGCAGTGTCCCCCTGGGGTTCCCATTGTGTAAAATCAACACCAAGAACCCAGCTTCAGGGCATGAAAGGGAAAGAGGCATCAGATGGCAAGATGGAAAGCTAGCCGGTTCAAAGAACATTTTTCTCTCCAACATATTTTACAATAAAAGCAAGTTTTAATCATCCTATAGATATATATATATATATATATATTTCCCCCTATGGGGCCTGACTGCACTGATACATATATATATTTTTTAAGAGCAACTGCCACACGTGGGATTTTGTTTCTAGTCCAGTGATGGTGAATGAGGAAGGCCTTGCTCTGGTCACTGGGAGTTGGGATGGGTAGGAGTTGGGGGTTGGGGGAACAGATGGAAACACCCACGCTGATTTCTGTGCAGTGTTATTTAGACAACCAATCAGGTTATTGTATCTACTTTGTTCCCAAGAGACAGGGGCAAGCTGCCTTTCAGAGAGAGCGAGGGGAGCTCTCTTGAGTTGAGTTTGCGAAAAACCTTTTTGTCTTTGAACTCTAGTACTGTTTCTAAGTTTATGACTGTGGGCAACTGGGGTGCCATGTTTTTTCAGATTCCAGTGTGACGTGAGGAAATTAGATTCTGAAGATGCGCATCTATTACTGTTCTCTAAGCACTTAACAATGCCGTGCACATTTATGGCCACGCATCTTGGTCTGTCATTTCAACGAGTACTGTATCTCACTTTAAACTCTTTGGGAAGAGAAAAAAAATCAAAAGGAAAAAAAAACAAACCTAAGTTGCTTTCTTTCAACACTGTAACTACATGTCAGCTGTTCGGAGTTGCTTACGAGCAAGCTATTGAAAGTTTTCCATGTGGCTTAAAGGGATGAACATGAATCGTGAACTAGAATGTGACAATAAATGACCGCCACGTTACTACCTGACAGGAGGCACTTGTCACTTTTGATGTTGGAGAAAGTGAAAGGCATATGCAGAGATTGGCAGAGAAACAGAGAGAGAAAAAGGCGTGGAGAAAAGAATTCTCTTTTTTTCTTTTTTTCTGTCCAGTGTTTTTTAAGATGAACTTTTTAAAGAATCTTGCGATTTGCACATCTTGAGTTTATAATTTGTGTGATATTCCTGCAGTTTTTAATCCAATGATATTGGTGGGAAAGGTTGGGAGGAGTGAACGAGCTTAAATAAATGTAGCAAACTTATTTTCTAACCTGCCTAAACTCTAGGCCATTTTATAAGGTTATGTTTCTTTCAGAATTCATTTGGGTCTTTCACATCTGTCATGCAAAACCAGTTCTTAGCAGGACAACTCTGACAATTTTTCTTCAGATTCATTGACGTGAGCAAGTTTTTTTCTTTTTTGAAAAAAAAATGCAATTGCTTTATTATTGTTATTCATGTTATTTTCAGAATGACCTTTTTTCCCTCTCTCTTGTTTAATTTGGAAACAAATCAACATTGAATGTTTGGTACAAACCCAGAAAGTGTATTTCATAAAGTTGAAAGCTTTCATTCCCAGAGATTCATTTGTGAGTTTTGACTGTATCTTAAAAGTGCTTAAAAAAAAAGTTTTCTGAGTAGGGAGACATTTTTTAATATTCTTACTTGGAAGGCTGCAACTAACCTAAATAAATACTTACCTTGGTTTCTCTTTTGCCATTTGGAAATAGTACTTTTATTTTCCAATTTTAAAAAATCAAAATAGCATAGCAAACTACATTGACTATCTAGTATTCATTTACATTGAGCTCTTATCAGGGCTAATGATTTTTATCAACCATTTTCTGGGTGTACCAAAATCATATGAATAGGTTGAGATGAGATAGATACTCCTCATTCAAGTGGCTTGAATTCATTACCTTCTCAGCGAGCTACCAGAGCTGGGTGGGTTCATTCTTAGGGTCACACTGCTCATTTAGTGCTATGTTGTTGTTTTGTTTTAACATTTCTGTCCAGAGAACTTGCTTAATCTTCCATATATTCTGCTCAGGGCACTTGCAGTTATTAGGTTTTGTTTTCCACCTCCCCTTGCTTCCCCCAAACCCCTTTTTTGTATTTTGTTTTTAACCTTTGATGGCAAAAGGAATAAGGCTGCCACATAGATTTCAACAATACCACTATTTATAACAGCTCGGGCGGGCTCAGAATGACAAACACACACACAAACACACACACACACACACACACACACACACTCACACACACACCACTTTGAGCTTACTTTAGTATTGAACTGACGATCCACTAAAACCAACACTAAAATGGGTGGGGTTGAGGGGAACACATGGTTTCAGAGCAATAGGAAAATCGTCATTTTTGTGGTTCTATTTCAGGTATAGGAATCATAAAATCATGGGTTGTTTGGAAACATGTCTCATTTCATTCTCTTGCTTTTTTTCCCCCTTAAAACACATGCAAGAGTCTGTGCCAATGGAGTATAACCAGTGTACTATAGAGGTATATAGGTACAGCTCACATCCTAACTACTGGTGTTTTCCATGTCTGGTCCATTTTATTTGTGCTGGTTAGAGAAGGATTGGTGGGAAAGGGTCAGGAGAGAGGGAGAGGGAGGGAGAGAGAGAGAGGGAGAGAGAGAAAGAGAGAGAGAGAGAGTGTGTGTGTGTGTGTGTGTGTGTGTGTGTGTGTGTGTTGGGGGCGGGCAGGGATCCTGCCTTTCGTCTTAGCTGTGGCTGCTGGGGTAGGAACTAGTAGGAGCTTGTGTCTCTGCTGGCATGTTACAAGAGCCACAGAGGCCCCCAAAATAGTGAATGCAGAGCGTGCAACCAGGAACGGAGGCAGGTGGATTTCTTACACACTCTGGAACAACGTAGCCTGCAAACAACCCAGGTTCCATGGTCTTTTTCTGCAAGTGGGCGGGCATCTCTGGGAGGGAGGATGGTCTGTGTCCTGGAGACTCTGAGGCCTGAGTTTCTGAGCCTGCGCAGCAGGAGTGGCCTGTTGGGCATGTGTTCTAAGCATGCGGCCAATGGTGGTGGAGGGAACCAACTGCCAGCCACAGCCACCACTCCCACCCTGTGTGGCAGCTTTCTCTTCAGACTGGAAGAACACGCAGAGGGCAGCAGTCTCTTCTTGTTGGCAGACATTGTCCAGCCCTGAGGCTGGGGGCAGCTGTGGTCACCACTTCTGAGGATGACAGGGGTAGAATTTCTTCAGTGCCGTTCAGTTCTGCGTTGGATGAGCAGCCACGTGCCTCTCTGTACTGTCTTCATTGCAATATCTAGCGACAACTGTCTTTTGTTCCTCTCTCCTTCCTGTTTTCCATTTTTAAAAACTAATAACAGCAGGCCTTTTGCGTTTACAATGGAACAATCACCAAGAAATTAGTCAGGGCGGAAAAAAAAGAAAATACAATAATATTATTCATCAGAAACCAACAAACAAGAACCTCTCTTTATAGGGAATTTCTCAATATATCCAATGACTGTTCCTTTGAATGTTTCACTTGAGAATTATTTTCGGTTTGTCTGAGCCACCTTGGGGACAGAGGGGAGAGGGAGGGACACACAGATGGATGCCACTTACCTCAATCTTTTCAAAGTGGAAATCCAGGTTGTATTTTCCTTTGGACTTGGAGGATCATTTTCTATGTTGGTCCAGTTTTTCTTTGGCCCCTCTCCCCAACTCAGCCAGTTTGGTTTGGGATGACTGGAGTGGGTGGCAGTTGATCCATTGAATACCTGAATTGTGACCCTGTGTGTTTGGTCAGGTGAGTGTGTTGGGTTTGCCTCCTTCCCCCACCCCCCCCTCACCCCCAGAAATGGCAGCACCCTTCTTCCTCCCCCTGCAAGGAACTCTGCGGAAACCTTCACACCTCTTACTCAGGGATGGGCTGGTGTGTTTGGAACACTGATGTGTCCAGCTGCAGCACTTTGACTGCTCTGGAGTAGGGTTGTACAACTTTAAGGAATGTTTGGATTTCCTGCATTGTGTGGATTACTTCCTTAGCTACTGCATAGATTGCAATATAACACTGCATGTTCCAGACCCACAGTAGCTCTTCGTAATCAGAGAATCCACCTTTGCACCTAGTTTGACCTTTTCTGAAATATGTTGCCAAAACTTCTATTTTTGTTGTTAGTGTAGTTTTGGATCTTTTGTTTTCTGTTGTTTTAAGGAAACAATAGATAATCCCCCTTTAAACATCTTATGACTACTAAGGAAACCTGTTTCGTCAAGGCTTCTGAAGACACTAATGCCATGCTATTTTAGACTTGGGTGAGGAAGCAGAGCTCTTGGGACAGGCAGAAAACCAGGCTTTTTGAGCTGTGTTGTCATGGCAACTGTTTACTGAGCCAGGAGCAGTTCAACAAACTGGTCTATTCTCTCCTGAAACCCCTTGTACTTCCAATTTCCTAGCCATCCTTGATGATTCCAGGTTTAAAAACAAAACAAAACAGGGCTGGCAGTCTCCGTGGCCTAGTGGTTTCTCTTTGGTGGTTAAAATAATAATAATAATAATTAATAATAATAATAAAGAATGCTACTTTTCTGTTGTTTTGCAAAGTGGAGTGGAGGCCTTTGCTTCCACATTTGTGTTTTATAACCCAGAATTTCTGAAATAGAGAAATTAAGAACATAAGTAATAACTACACAGAGAATATACTTTTTTATAAAGTACATGCATATGCTATATTGTCTTGGGTTGGTTTCCTCTCTTTTCCACGGACAGTGTTGTGTTTCTGTTGATAGGGAAAACTCCAAAACAACTTGCACAACCCTACTTCGGAGCTGAGATTTCTTTTACATAGATGACCTCGCTTAACTATGTTACCTTACTGATAGGGTCTTTCCTTGTAGCACTATATACCTTGTGGGAAGTTCTTTTTGTTTTCTTTCATGTACACCTAATTTGAGAAGCTGAAGAAAAACAAAAATTGAAGCACTCACTTTGAGGAGTACAGGTAATGTTTTTCTAGAAAAATAATTGCACAAAAGAAAAATGAATGTCAATGATTCAGTGTTTGAAAGAGACAGATCTGTTGAACAATGCATTTCATACTTTGTAGAAGACATAAAAGCAGAAGGGTTGAAAGTTACATGTTTTTCCCCCCCTTCTACTTTTTTTTTGTATATAGAAATTTGTCATGTCTTGATGACCAGATTTGTATGGCCTGGAAGAATTAGTACATGAAAGGCTCTGAAAACTATACCTATGCTTACCTTAGGTTTATTACTCAGAACCATAGTATAAGGGAGGGGAATTCTGCATTCTGCTCTTTGAGATGAAGTTTATTTGTAGGCTGAAAATACTTTTTGAAGCTCCCTTTTTAGTTTAAACTCTTAAGTCATTGCATCTTTCTTTTCTTCAGAGAATATGTTTTAGCATTTTTTTAGCACTTCCTGTTCCTGTGAACCCAAAGAATATTAATCCTGAACATGAAGTGTTTCTAAAAGGGATCCTAGCTACCAAGAAAATAGGACTCACTGTGGGGACAAAAATGATTAATCTTCCTTTCCACCCCCACTCCCCACACACACCTCATTTAAATGGGGGTGTAAAACATGAATTGCAATCGAAATGCCTCATCTTTAGTTTTATTTGGATTTTTTTTCTTTTCCCAGAAGCCAAAATAAATGTGGAACAATTTCTCAGCAGCAGTTATATTCCTGTCTGAAGATAAATAAATAAATACCAAGCTGAACAGTACCACTGGACAGCTATGGGTCTACTAAACACACCCCCACTCTTTTAAGAGTTCTTAAATTCATAATTCCATCCCCTCCCTTCTTCTCGTAGCTAATATGCACTCATATAAAAGGGAGGAAACATCAGACTTTGATTTTTCCTGTCTCCACCCCCATGACTTGCATACACATGGTTCAACTATATTAAAAATGAAGTGCATTTGGCCAATAGGAAGTATCTATACAAGAATTGTCTCTAAGAATTCCTATCTGAAAGGACTTCAGTCTTCCACTGCAGATCAATTGGAGGCTTTCTTTCCCTTTAGTTTGTTTGCTGTCTGGATGGCCAAGGAGCCTATCTCCCTTTCCGTGGCTAGTCTGAAGGCCTGCGTGGGAAGCGCTGTTTACAGTAGTCCTTACCAAGAAATCAAACATACTGTCCTCTGGAATACCAAGTCGTGGTGACACTGGCTTTAGAGTTTTTGTCTCTAAAGATGTTACCAAGAAGGCTGGTGCATAGATTTTTGCTTTCTTTATTCCCCACCCCACCCCCTTGGTTCTTAGATGAGCCACCTACTCATTAAGTTATTCTCTGGTCCAGGAGTGGGGTAAACTCTTTGTCAGTGAATCTTGAATTTGATACCTGTGCATCCAGTTCTGTGAATTCTGCCCTCTTTGGCTGGATTTCTTCCTACCCAGCCTGAACTGGTAAAGTGTCAACCCAGGTAGTGGCAACTGAAAGGTTTCAATAGAGTCCTATCAGTATTTGTGGTGGCCTTCGGATGAGATGGAGTCCCCAATTTTAATCAGTGGGGTGCTGGCCCTAAAGCATCTGAGATTTATGCCTCTCAGTGTTTTAACACCAGATTACCCACCAAACTTCCAATCCTATGCCTCCCACAGGCCAAGGGAGAACAGCTATAAAACTTGGGCTGAGGGCACTACTGGTATGGAGGAGAACTAGGGAAGGAATGATGTTTTTGCACCTTATTGAAAAGAAATAAAAATTTAAGTGCATACATAGTTAAGAGCTTTTTATTGTGACAGGAGAACCTTTTTTTTTCCATATGCGTGCATACTCTCTGTAATTCCAGTGTAAAATATTGTACTTGCACTAGCTTTTTTAAAAACAAATATTAAAAAATGGAAGAATTCATATTCTATTTTCTAATCGTGGTGTGTCTATTTGTAGGATACACTCGAGTCTGTTTATTGAATTTTATGGTCCCTTTCTTTGATGGTGCTTGCAGGTTTTCTAGGTAGAAATTATTTCATTATTATAATAAAACAATGTTTGATTCAAAATTTGAACAAAATTGTTTTAAATAAATTGTCTGTATACCAGTACAAGTTTATTGTTTCAGTATACTCGTACTAATAAAATAACAGTGCCAATTGCAAAGGTCTCCTCCCCTTCTTTTGGCTCTATAGTGCTACTTTTTCTCCTGATCTCCGGTGCAATTACGTGATCTTGCCCTGCAGAAGTCAGCGGGGAGAGACAGGAGACATTGGTTTCCTTGCTCATTTGGGAGGGTTGGGGGCAGAGCGGGATGTATGCTTGAAATGAGGTTCTAAAGATAAAAAGGCTGAGGTCCCCATCTGTTTAGTTCATGTTTGCATTTCCTGTGTGCTGAATAGGTTATGTCTGAGGGAATTTTGTTTTCAAAAATGTGGAAGCTTCATGGAGTCATGTGGTCTTACCAGTACATCCTGTAAACTGGTTAGTGGTTTGAACATGGGAAGAACATTGACATTCCCTCACTGAGCAGGGGTCTTCTGGTACAGGTATGGGCCTCATGTTTCGTTAAAGACTGTTGCATAAAAGACTGCAAAGGGCTCAATCAAGTCTTGGAAAGATGTGGCTTAGCAGTTACACAGAACTCCAGAGAATGGAGGTCCTGAGTTTGTCTTAGGAAGTAAATGAATGGGGGCATTAAGCCCAGTGGTAACTGGGTGAATCTCAAAGACCAGCCTAGAAGGGTCATTCAATGACATGCTGGCATGTTATGGGCAATCCTGGTTTAAACCTGCTGACTCTGTCCTATTTGCTTTCATTAGATGCTAAGGGATATGACAACTACTTTGGAGTTAAATGGCTGGGCTACCTCCAGGGAAACTCATTAGGGAAAATCCATAGCTCCACCAGCCACAGTGAGGCCAACCTTGAAAACATCAGAAGCATCACCTCAGCCAGTGAGTGGATGTCAGGGATGCCTGCCTGATCTCCATCCCTGTTCAGTGTCTGAGTTGAGGCATGCTCTGACGGTAGGGGAATCGGGGGGAGACAGGATCCTCACAGCCTGTTCCTATGGGGCAGAGATAACCCAGGTAAGCCAAGGAGACTAGAACATTAGTGCTTCCCCTTCTTATGAAGCCCCTGTCTTTGATGTGAATCCGATGGGCATCTGGCAATAACTCAGTCTTTACCTCTGTAGAAACTAGACTGCAATGGAACAGCCTTTGGTCACACAGAGCCAGTTTGTAAAATCCTTTCATGTCACTCTCCTTGGCCCATGCACAGGAAGCAGAAATGGGGAAGGGAACACTGGTGGCATCTGGCTGCAAACGTAGTCTGGAGGAAAACAGGATCCTAAAAGACCATTCATCCACTTTTAATAGATTTAAACTTTACTTCTCTCCTGTACTTTATAAATAGAGTCTCATAAGAACTAAGATGCTTCAGGACTTGATTGTAGAACACAACGTCCACAGGGAGAGGAAATGCTTGACCCCTTGGCACAGCCAAGCAGAGGAAAGGCCCCATTGTCCTGCTCTACACAGAACAACCCCTTCACTCACACAGACATCCAAAACACAGCCATTCATATTTCTAAAGGGACAAGAGCAATTTCCCCATTGGTTGTAGGTGGGAAGGGGAAAAAGGAAAGGAATATTACATTGGAGTGAAAACAACTTGGGTTTGCAGATGTGTTCCTGCCAGACTAGAAATGGACCTGTATTTCCTCCACATGGTAACGTGGAGGGTCGGGGTGACATCTGTCACTGGATGCCCAGGCAATGAATTCATCCTGACTCAGCTGCTCTGCATGCCCTGCTCCACTCAGAGGGGTTATGTGCAATGATTCAAAGAAACAACAAAAAACGAACTCCTGTACCTTAAGTAAAACTTCCTGAGTGGAAGGGAACTTTCCAGGCCTCGCCTCTTCTGCTTGAGTAGCAGCCCTCAGGGGCAGCTGTAGGACAGCAGCCGCAGGCGCAGATCCTTTCTCCAAGACCAGTCACCATCGCCAGCCAATTAGTGGAGCATTCTACAGAACAATATGGTCCTCCCTGGCAAGTATTCATCACCATGTCAAGGGAACAGCTCTTACGTGTGAAGCCGATGCCTTTTACGATACCACTGGGCAGAGCATTTGCTGGGTTACAGCAGGACTCAACCTGCTAATTGCTTCACAGATAACCTTTGGATACAACACCTTGCGCAACTTCACACTACTGTATAAATTCTTTGAGAGGGGCCAGCCTGACAGGGTGGGGTCAGAGAAGGGCAGGAGGAAAAGAAAAACCACAGGCCTGGTCTAGCTTGCCAGCAGCAGTTCCAAACAAGCAGTGGTAGATGACTTGCCCAGAAAGGTAGGTGCCCTGAAGGTTGAGGAAGATGTCAGCCAGAGCCACAACCATCTTAGGTGCAGCAGCCAAGAAAACCATTCTCCATGTTCCTCTGTCCCAACAATTGCCCTTGGTCTTTTCCGACCCAGAAAAGCTGAAGGCAGTGGGTGCCAATGCTGTGGCTCTGAGCTTCAGTGGCCTCCTGGGTGTATCATGCACCAACAGTACCACACACCTGGCAAGACAGCAGCAAAAACCCCAGCACCCCGATGCAACTGGTACAAGCCCTAGCAGTCAACTCTCAGGACAACAGCAATAAAGTGAAACCATTTCACTATAAAAGGAAGGAAAGATCAGGAAACAAAAAGGGTACAAAGTTGGATTGAAGAGTGGAGCTCTGACCGCTGGCCCCCTCAGTCCCTGGCTTCTAGGTCCCAAGAAGGCACCAGAAGAGCCCCATGGCCTCCAGGTGGCAGGAGGGGGAGGGAGGACGCAGTATTTCACCAGCTCCACTCAGCAGCAGCAGCAGCCACAGGGCTGGTGAACAGTCCAGTAGGGGCATGGAAAAAGCGGCATGTGAGGCGGCTTCCTTCCGTCGAGTTAACTGAATACAGTGTTGTGCTGTTGGGTTACCCGGATGAAGGTTGCCCTCCTACTGAGCTCTTTGAGTTTGGCAGCCCCCACATAGGTGCAGGTTGACCTCAGTCCCCCGAGGATGTCCAGAATTGTGTTGGCCACATCGCCTTTGTAAGGCACTTCCACCGTCTTGCCCTCAGAGGCTCTGAAAGGGAAAAAAAAAATAGAATTTGTTTCTCCTGGAAAAACTCAACTAGAATTACTCCCAGATGTAGTTTTTTACAGTCCTCTAACCTATCTTCTACCAAGTAGGCCCTCCACTGAGAGATAGCTTGATGGATTTATAGACTTAACATAAAGATGCACATTTCCCATCCCTGCCTCTGCTCAGCCCCCATCTGTGGAGAACCAACCTCCAAATCCCCAATGAGGAAACAGATGTGACCACTGACCACCCAGAATACCTCCTATGTTAACAGAAACCCCAGAGCTTTGCTTTCCTGAGTGGTAGCCATACAATGGAACCCTGAGAGTCTTCAAAGGGAACCATTAGCATAAGGATACAGAATGAACATCTCACTGTACAAGACTATGTGGAAAACAAACTTTACAATTTGGGCCGGGGGTGGCTGAGGAGGTGGGAGGGAAGGGATGATAGGGGAAAAACAAAGGAGGAGGCAACAATGCTGGATAAGAAATGTACTCGTTACCTTGCTCATGTAATTGTAATCCCTTTGTACAGTATTTTCACAATAAAAAAAAATTTAAAAAAAGACTAAACATCTCAGGCCCTCTGGGGCTATCCAGAAAGCTCCATACCAGAGATACAAGGGCTGAACTCCACCAGCCTCGACATCAGCCCAGGGTACCCTATCCCCCAAGGCGTAAGGGTAGAGGAGTTCCTAGCACAGAGATGCTAGAGCACAGCCAAAAACTGAGTTAATACAGGGTCCTCAGGGCCTGGGACAGCATCATTCACTATTTTCAAAGGAGTCTTTAGAAAACTCAGATGTGAGGGGGCTGGGAAGGTGGCTCAGCGGCAGAGTGCTTGCCTTGCATGCATGAGGCCCTGGGTTCCATTCCTCAGCACCACATAAACAGAAAAGGCTGGAAGTGGCGCTGTGGCTCAAGTGGTAGGGCGCTAGCCTTGAACTGAAGAGCTGAGGGACAGTGCCCAGGCCCAGAGTTCAGGCCCCATAACCAACCAAAAAAAGAAAAAGAAAAAATCAGATGTGACATGCAACATATTAAGCAATATCCAACTGTCCCCATCCGGGCCTCCCTGTGCCTTAGTCAACTGGAAAAATAATATCACTTGATGAGAAACTCCTGGCCAAGAAGTTCAAAAGTTTTAAAGTTTTGTTTCCTGAATATTCAAGGCTCCCCCGCTCCCCCACCCCCTTGGGGCCTTTTTACCTCTTGGATAAAATCTAGCTGCCAAGGACAGGATCCAGGGCTGGCCTAGAAACTTCTATAGACCTGTGAAAGTTCAGTGCTCAGCCCTCTGACTACAGACTGACTCATGCACCCGTAATGGCTTCCCTTTCATTCTCTTCAGATACCCCACAGCCTTCGCAGGGCTTGCTGGAAATGACCAGAAACAGCTGTCTCTTTACTAACTGGTGATGTCACCTTTTACTCGGCATTCACTGCTGACACTGAAGTCTGCTCATGGGCAAAATGAAGATCCCTGGACATCTGCCTCCCAGGGACAGCATGAGAACAAACTGGTCAGCAAGAATGGTGCCAGACTTAAATGAATGTCAAGGGAGAGGATGATTCTCAGGATAAGACCGTGGTGGAGGCTACAGGGGCCACTCGGGCGACCCGTGCGCTGGGTACTTTCCCTCCAGAACTGATGGTTCCTGATGCTTTTCTGTGATGTTTCAGGCCTCTTAGAATCCCCCCCCCCATGGCCATCTTCTGGCTCCCTAGTGCCTGTGTGAGCTGCAGACGGCCTTGTCTTTCCCAGGAAACAACCACAACAGCCCGAAAGCAAAACAAAACTGTCCTGGAGGCAAAGCATCCTGTCAGTGCTCCACTGCGTGGCTCCACTTCTTCATCTGGGGACTGAACCCACAATGCCCAGGCCCTCAGATGGTGGCAACAACTGGAGAGCCAGGAACCCACTGAGGGAGAATCCTCCATCATTTACCATGGAGAGAAAGGCGCTCCGAGGCTACCTGGAATGTGTTCGGCTTCTGACTGATACTGATATACGTCGCAGCTCCTGCCACCCTGCCCTCCCTCCTCCCAGCTGTCTTGCCTGTTGGTGGGGAGTCCGAATGCGAACTGCATTCACCATTCCAAACATCAGAAACCTGGTTGAACACTGACCACCCGCCTTCCGATAGCTCCCAGTGGAGCCACGTGACCTCTTACCTTTTCTGAGACACCTGAACACTAAGCCCTCAAGTGAGCCTCTGGCTCTAGAACAACCGATAGGAAATAGGAGGAAATAGCCAGAGAGGGCTGAGGGTGTCCACTATCAGTGTGGAAACAGAAGCTAAAAATAGCAGTGAGAACTGAGGCTTCCAGGAGAAAGGCAGAAGAGCCCCTGGCCCCAGTGAGTCCTCAGTGCTGGCTCGGGAGGCAATCTCTTCTGCCAAGGGGCTTCTAGAGCTGCCACACGGTTCCCGTGGAAGGGGAATGGGAATGGCCATGAGATCTTAGGGGTCATGGATTTAAACAAATGTATCAGTGGACTTGAGCACGTGGGCAGTTGCTCAGCTGAGTGTGCTGCTCTACAGCTCTACAGAGCCTGGGGGCAGGGCCGGGGCCAAGAGTTGCTGCACAGCATCTTTTTAGGAAAGCCTTGGCCATGGTGCAACGGTCCAGACCACTGGGCAGTGAGAAATCCATCCTTCAACCTCAGTCCCGTAGCCTGACCTCCACTCAGGCCAGGGGGCAGGAGGAGCTCAGCAAGCACTCTCTTCAGCTAGGACAGTATTTCCACACTGACCTAGGAATCTGGGGTGCCCCTCCACCACCAGAACACACACACACCTCCAACCTGACCACAGACACCGAAGAAGCTAGTTGGGTAAAAGGCAGAGCCAAAAAAAAAATGCCAACTGATTCTCAGAGTCCCCACGTGCACACAAGAGCGCGAGTCAGAGCCGGAAGACGGGGCATTCATATGCGGCCGCCTTACCTGTACTCAGCGACTCCCCCCGCGTGTTTCTTCATGGCCGTGTCTGAGCTCATCCCGTAGAAGAGCTTGAGCTTCTGGCCGTTCCTCTCAATCACTTCCCCGGCACACTCCGTGTGGCCCGAGAACATCCCTCCCAGCATGACAAAGTCTGCTCCAGCTCCTACACGCCAGGAATGGGAAGAGAAGAACGGTGGAGTCAGAACTCATGGAAGAGGGACTCTGGCAAGATCCAAGTCTTTCCCAACTCACCCTCCCTGTCAGCCCCTAGGCCCAGCCTCTCTGCTTGCAGAAGGAGTACAGGGAGACCACCAAACTGGAAACGACTTAATGGTTATTTGGACAAGAAGACCCACACACATACAGCATCTCACAAAGTGTGTTGTCTAATCTTATACTAAACGCAGTCACGCCTTAGGATCTCCCTGCTGGCATCTGGTCAATTCAGCCCTCTGTCACTCACCAAAAGATCTTGGAGCAGGCCCCACCTCTGCACTAAGACTGGCATGGGGAGAGAGACCCCTATGCATGTCATGTGAAACTACCTGCACTCAGAGAGAACATCAGATTCCCAGAGTACATAATAAGTCCGCCTAGCCACCAAGTGATGTGACATTCCCAGGGAACTACAGAAGAGACAGGTACACTGACAGGCCCCATTTACCCTAGTTCATGGCATGCGGGAGATGCTCAATAGCCAGCTGTCCATGCAAAAGGAATACATGGAAGAAAGAAAAAGCCATCTTTCCTCAGCCTCCTCTTGATAACTAGGCAAGGAGCTCATGGTTAATTCATAAGCATGATGGCTTGACTGTGCTCATGGTATTTAGAGGTGGGGCTTTGGATGGTCATTAGGATGAGAAGAACCCAAGGGGGAGGAGGACAGCTCCCATGATGGCATTTGATCACTTTATAGAACAGGAAGAGCAACCAAGATGGCCTGGTTTTCTCTGTCTCACCGTGTGACATCCCCCACCATTTTATAAAGCAGCAAGAAGGTCCTTACCAGGGACCAAGCTGACACCCGCACCATGCTTCCTGGATTTCCCAGCCTCCTGAATCATGAGTCAAAGAAATTCCTTATCAACTATCCAGCCTCAGGTATTTTGTTAGTAAGATGTTAAGAGATTACCACAAGGTCACATTTACCACAGAACATCTAGCAGGGTCCAGACGTATTAAGTCACTAGGATCAAAGAGGAAAGGAGCAGAATGGGACTCTCAGAAGATGTCAGGCTTCCTGGGTTCTCTTACTAGCTAGTCATTTAAATACAGGAGGACCCTGGGGAGTGCATCCTCCCAGTTCACAGTGCTCCCCCAGCCAGCACGCAGGTGGGCAACGCACAGTATAAACTCCTTTGGCAACAGGAAGCCACAGACCTGCTCTCTGGGGCCCTGACACCAGTGCTAGCTCCTTGATCCTCTTGTCTAAGGGGACGGACCACAGACCTGCTGATGCCCACAACCCCAGGGAAGTCTGCAGCAGGAACAGAGAGCCCAGATCCAGATGGAGACCAGCGGGTCCTGGTTAATGATTGCCAATACTCATTTCCTTTCTGAAGCAACGCTTTCCCTGACCAGATCTCTCTCCCTCCAAGAGTCTCCACACAGCCCTGCACTCACGGGAAGGAGAGGGGAGGGAGAAGGCCAGGCACTTCCTTGATGCGCAGCTGCTTCAAGTGCTCAGCTTCTACTCTGTGCAACACATGGGTGGGAAGTCTTAGAATGGAGTCCAAGATGGAAACTTATCCAGGTTAAGTAGATTCTGATCGAACACAACAAGAATGCCCTTGGCTGGTGATCCTTAGGTAACAAGGGGTAGGAACAGGCATTAGAGGTCCCAGAGTTCCCTTGTCATTTGCCTCTGAAGCCACCATTTTTTCCATCAGAAAAAGGAGAAGCCAGCCAGGTGCTGGTGGCTCACACCTATAATCCTAGCTACTCAGGAGAGGCTGAGCTCTGAAGATCAAAGCCAGCCCAGACAGGAAAGACCACTGATCTCCAATTAATCACCAGAAACCCAGAAGTGGAGCTCAAAGTGGTAGAGTGCTAGCCTTGAGCAGAAGGGCTCAGGGACAGCATCCAAGACCTGAGTGCAAGTCCCATGACCAACAACAACAAAAAAGACAGAAAAGCTGAAACACAGAGGGTTTGTATATTTCCCTTCCCCACTAAAGTCTATGTTTATACTGGGGTTCTGTCCGATTTTTATGACTGGGTTGCTAAAAGATCTTACTGTTAAGGACATGTTCTTTCTCTATCAGAGTGCTTGTTCAAAAGACAATTAAAAAGTTTCCTACCACAAAGGAAAAAAATGCTGGTATCAGAAAAGGACAAGGAGGAGGAGCCTGGTCTCTCTATCAGCACAGCCCCAACACCAGTGTAAAGCCTCCATCCTCTGACTTGTGAATGGTATGCAAAGGTAAGCGGCCAGCGGCCGTTTGAGGGGCCTTGAACTGAGGTGGTGGACTACAGTGGGCACTGATGCCCCCTAGTGGGAAGCAAACTCCTAGCCTCGGGCAAGAAAACCAGAGCAGGGGACTCCTTGCCAGATGGAGCCAGAAGAGCATCCTGTGGTATCTCCACATCAGACCTGGCACGGGCCTCTGCCACAGACTTCCTGAGTGCTTTCCCAGTGAAGAGATCGCTCCTGGTATTCAGGACATCTGTCACCCCCAGATCCATCTCCCTTCCACAGACCAGAACCAAACTGGGGCCAGGACCTTGGCCAACTTGGAGAGGAAACTCTTCACAGGCCTAGAGCTGCCCACAGGTCCCCCTTCCTTCCTCCCTGCATTCAGCCTAAGCTGCGGGAACTCCTTCCACCCCTTTCTCCCTCCCTTCCTCCCTGGCTCATCCTTCTCCTTACCAAAGGCTTTGGCGACATCTCCTGGACATGTGCAGCCGCCGTCCTTGGGAAAGAGCAAGAACAGAGTATCAGCACTGATTGGAGCACAGGCTGGTCACACTGTGTCTCCCTGCAGAGACGGGTGACTGGGAATTCCCATCATCCTGCCCCCCAGCCAAGGACCTGGCCCAAAGAGCCCCTTGTATTCTGGCTTCATTCATTCTGCTAAAGACCACCCAGAGCTGGTTCCCCTGCATCCCCCCAGCTCAGGCATCCTGTCTAGGGAGAAGGTAGCACCAGCAGCTCAACTGTGGAGACTGAGCACCATCCTGTGCCAGCCCGTTCTGCCATCTTGGCTCATTCTGGCCACACCCTTCTCCCTCCCTGCCATGTAGGAAATGAGGTTTATTGAGTACAAAAGGCTGGATAATGTTGGGAGCTGAGGAAAGGGCAGTCACTGCATTTTGCAGGTACCCCATGGGTCTCCTGGGCTTTGTGTACTGTACCTGTTATCTTGGAAGGCTAACATTGTCCCTGACACCCACACTGCCCACCTCCTGCTCAGGCAGGGAGGTGGGGACTGGTACCTTGGGAGACAGCATGGTTCACCTGGGGGGATGGGGAGTGTGTTGCACACCAGCCACACAGTTCTGCCATGTGCAACTCCTTGTTTCCTCACCAACAAGAGACCCAAGAATGGCAGCTTCTAGCAGGGGACAGCAGCAGAGCCCACAGCTCGGTATGGGTCCCTCAGGACAGAAGCTCCTGTTCCCAGGAAGTATGACCAGGCACACTTAAGGACTGAACAGAGAACATCAGCCACCTGGGCTACCTTGGGTGCCAGTCTATAAGAAAAGTCCCATTTGCTCTGGAGCTGGAGGGTGTCTACATAGAACTGGGGTGAACCTGGAATATTTGGTTTCGGTTTCAAGAAAAACTATGTAGCTCAGACCAGCCTCCCAAGTACTGCGATTACAGGCATGCACCACCAAGCTGGGCTCTGGAAGGAACCATTTATTTTGTTTCTTTTTGCAAAAGGTGTTCCGTCCCCTACTCTGAGAACACAGGCCTCTGAGTCCTGGCTTCTTTTCTAGCAGCTTATTAGGCCTGCCACACCGGGAGTCAGAACTCAAAGCCTGCTTTATTGTTTCCTTGGAGTTCTGATCAAAGGAGAGGCACTGAAGACTTGCTCTTTTGAGTTATAAACATGCTCTTGCTGGGATTGTTTGCTCAGATGAGTGTTCTGTTCTGATGTGGCTCCCCTTACTTCCACAAGGCCATGGGTATGGAAGCATGACTGATGAGAGGCCGGCTCTCCACACAAGGTATCTAGGCAAAACCAAGCCTCTCATGTGAAGACAGCAATAGGGCCCTGGGCCCCAGACACCTCGTCACCGTTTCCTAGCTCCGGCATGCTTGTTTATTTTCTCTTTCAAAAAGACAACCTCCATCTGCCCTTCACTTGCCCTGTGAATTCATGTTCTAGGTGCTTTTCTCTTCTAAAACCAGCTCTACACAACAGGATTCCAAGTTATAACCTCAAAGAGAGAAAGTAAACACAGATACCCATTAAACATAGGTCGCTAACAGTCTGACTTGGAAATATGTGTGCTCTTCTATGCAAAGCTGACAGCTACCACGGGCATGGAGACTGGGGGAGAGGGGTTCGGAGGCTCCCAGGTGATTGTGGGTGGTGAGAAGGCCTGAATCAGAAGCCCAGTGTGACTGGGACTGAAAAGAAACCTGTCTGTCCCTCCCACAATGACCCAGAGTTAATATGAGAAGAAACTGTCTTCACAGTGTCACCTGCTGCTTGTATATGCACTGTGAAATGGACAGTGGGGGCCAAGCAAGCCAAGGACAGTGCAGCTTCGCATAGTGCCTTGCAGGGTTAGAAATCATCTAGAGAGGGCTTAAAACACATGAAGGTGCACAAGTGCTAAGCCACACGGTGACTCCCACCATGGGTCATGGAGCCAACCCTAAGGACTCCATGTGTATAAAACACTGCCTGAGAGCTGGGGGCTCATGGCTCACACCTACAATCCTAGCAATTAAGGAGGCTGAGATCTGAGGCTCGAGGTTCCAAGTCAGCCCAGGCAGGGAAGGCCATGATTCTTATCTCCAACTAACTACCAAAAAGGCAGATGTGGCACTATGGCTTAAGTGGTAGAACACCAGTCTTAAGATCAAAACAGAGCTGAGGGACAGTGCCCAGGCTCTGGGTTCAAGTCCCAGGACTGGTGCATACGTGTATAACCAAATGCATGCACGTGCGCACACACACACACACACACACACACACACACACACACACACACACACACACACACATAACCACCAGCTGAACAGAAACCAAGTGGAGCTCTAGCTGCACCACATCTGTTGTTCTGACCCATCTGGAGCCTCCCCTCACAATCACTACCCACAGGGGCCAGCAAGGGGCGTCAGATGGGTAAGTTAAGGACACAAGTAAGAGTACAGGTTTTAGGTGTGGCTCAGATAAATGACATCAGACCAGAAAGGTCAAAGTCCTGTATTCAGGGGCTGGGAATATGGTTTAGTGGTAGAGCACTTGCCTAGCATGCATGAAGCTATGGGTTCAATTTCTCAGTACCACTCTAGTGGTGCTCTAGTGGTGGAGTGCTAGCCTTGAGCAAAAGCAGCTCAGGGACAGTGCCCAGACTCTGAGTTTAAGCCCCAAGACTGGCCAAACAAACCCAGAAAAACAAAGTTCTGAGTTCAAAACTCAATACATTGATATTAACTGGAGTCCAGTAACTGACATCTATAAAAACCAGCTACTTGGAAGGCCCAGAAGATCTGAAGGACTGAGGCTCAAGGACAGCACAGGAAGAAAAGTTCATTAGATTCCATGTCCAAAAGAACCTGCAAAAAGCCTGGCAAAAAGCATGGCTCAGGTGGCAGAGCACCAGCCAAACACTGACCAAGTGAGAGGCCCTGAGTTCAAGCTATTGATATGAAAAACAACCCACAAAATCAAGGAAAGTTTTGCCTTACTAGGTGTTCATTCAATCCATAATGCCATGTCATAGCTGATGCCCATAGTGCCATCCTTCTGAAAGCCCCTGCCGGAACACTGCGTGCCCGTCCTCACCTCCAGCCTTCCCTCCCCTACCACTGGGCCTGCCTCACTAGTTTCCACTGAGCTGCTGGCAGCATCTGGTGCCCAACATGCCCCCCTCATGCTGGGCACTACCACCCCAGGGCCTGTTGCCACGGGTACCTCTGAGATCAACCACAGATTCCACTGGAGGCCCCCACAACCTAGGGGCTTTTGGTATACAAATCTCCAACCCCTACACCCAATAGGTGCCTTGAAACCAATGTGAACCTGTGGTGCCTCTCCTTCCCCATTCTCCCCCTCTTCAAACATCTCACAATTGCCCAGGCTTGCCTAATCCCCTCCCCAAACACCTGCTGGGACTGTGGATGGTTGTGAAGCGCTGCTGTCCACAGTTTAGTAGGGGGCGCTGTCGCCTCCCACCCAAAACACCTCCCTTCTTACCCAGTTCCCCAGGGAAGCCCACTTCATGTTTCTGGAAGACAAGTCCATGCACTGGGCGCTCTCCTGCTCAGCCCTGCTCAACAGCTCCCCCAGGCCCCTAGGAGAAGGCCGCAGCCACGGCTACCTCTACACTGAGGTGTTTCTTGATTCCTGCTTCCCTTCCATCTTCCACACTATCATGGACCCCAGAAAAATCCTTCCTGACTCCCCAAATCTGAACTGTGTGGCCTCCTACAGGTTGGACTATATCCTCTTAGCCCCCAAATTCCCATTCAGGGTTGTTGCAGATGGAATTAGTTAAGCCCAAGTGTCCTGGAATAGAATGGATCCCAAACCATGGGACCAGAGTCATTCTAACAAGAGGAACTGGAGTCAGACAGGGTACACGGGATCCACACCATGCCCACGGGGGCTTGGGCTGCCACGGGCTCCGGATGAGCAAGGAGTAGGAAAATGGCTGGCACAGCTCCTTCCTGCCCCCTCCACCCCCCGGCCACCGCCTGCCCTGGGATTTCCAGCCTCTGACTTGGTGTTCAGCCTGGGAACGTGCTTACAACAATCCCAGCAACCCTCCCGGATAGGCTCCCTGGGACCCCCAGAGATGGCTGGGGGACCCCCATCAGACGATCCGCCTCCCAGTTCTGTCACCAATTCCTGGGCCTTCCACCCTCTCAGCACACTGCATAGGGGGCAGAGCTGGTCTCTGCGGGGTGTCACTGTGCCCACACTGCGGCCCATCCCACCCCAGCCCTCCGAGACTCACAGAGATGATGTGGCCCTTGAGGCCGTGGGCAGAGTCTGCGCACTCGATCACGGCGCTCAGCTGGGGGTAGCCCACCCCAGTCTTGGTGCGGGTGGTGCACACTGAGCCTGGCAAAGGAAGAGATGGTTACACATGGTGGAATGAGACACAGAACCTCACCTTCCCACGGCCCATTCTAGAGATGAGGTAACCTTTCCATGGCACAGGGCATGTACCAGGTGGAGCCCTTTACCACCCCAACCTGGCCACAGGTGCCTCTGGTCCTCAAACACCCGCTCCTCATCGCTGCCCACTGCCCCGCCCACCCCTGGCATCAACTACCTCCTCTTCCTTCCTCACTCTTCCATGCACCCCAATCCCCTTCTAAGGGCCACCCAGAAACCACAGGCTTCTCCACCTTCAACTCCTGCCAAGTCACCAGGCTCTCCAACCTCCTAGCCTGGCCTGTGAGACAGAAAAGCCCCTAAGGCTGTGGCCAAGATGAAATGACCAGAGTGCTTGTCCCAGGCCTGGCCTATGGCAACCTCTGAGGAGGAGCCAGTGCAAGTAGATTACTACAGCCGCCCCCTCACCCCTACTCAACCCTGTCTCCAAAGCTGCTCAGCCATTTCTCCTTCCTGAGCCACAGTCTACCTTATACCTCATCCTCTCTGCCTCAAATTCCCACCTGGGTAAGATCCTGCTTTACAATATGTACAGCAGTACCTGGGTGCCTTCCTGACTTAGGACCTTCCTTCCCTGTCAAGCCTTATTAGGATTGTATTCTCCCAGTTAGGTCTGGGGGGGGAAGGGGGGTAGACAAGCATCTTCATCAAGTGTTCCCCATCCCCTAGAAAGAGACACCTTTGTGCTTTACTTAAATTAGCTGGATCAAGCCCTACCTGCAGCCCTCCTCCTCTCTCACCAGCTCATCTCCACCTGCTGCTTAGCAGACACCCTTCCCTTTCTTTCCTCCCTTCTTCCTTTCCTGCCTTTCCTTGCTTCCTTCCTTCCCTTCCTCCCTCTCTTCCCTCTCCCCCATCCCTCTCCCTCTATCACTCCCCTCTATAATAAACCCCCTTTATCTAGCCATTCCTTTCCCAGGCTTCATCTGAAATGCCACAGCCCCAGGGAAGTTGTTGTCACAGCATTTCTTTCAAGAAGAAGTATTTAAGCAATTATTCCTGCAACGGCTGTGAGGATCTGTTTTCTCAGCTGGATGGTAAGCTCATGGACATTCACCACCTCTTTACACAATGCCAAGAACAGAGTCTCGGACACATTAAGGTCACTATAAATAGAACTGAGAGAACACGTGGACTCAAGAATGAGTGAGTCACGAGGTCCTGTGGCCATTCCTCTGCCACTCCCTGGCCTCCTCCTGGTGTCCTGTGGCTGCCCACTGTGGGCCAGAGTGCAACTCTTGCCCAGGATTGATTAGTAATGGCCTCAAGTGAGTGCAGTGTGAGAACCACCCAACAACAGGACAGCTGGAAATTTCCCTGCATGCTGAAAGCTGGGCTACTTCCAGGCCACAAGGGCTGTGCCTCAATATTCCTTACATGCAGCCTACTCCTCAGCTCAGTCCCAACCAATGGGGCCCTCTGCCTCCAGCTGTTTCCCCTCCCAGTCTCCTCCCATTGGCTATGCTCTGCTTCCTACTCTAGCTGGTGTGTTTTGTTGTTTTGATGGGGGACGGTACTGAGGCTATCACTCCTAGCCTCCTACTGGCTAGACAGGTGCTGTACCACAGAGTCATGCCTCTAGCAGGGGCAAAATCTTGCTGGTGAAGAGTCAATGGTGATAAGCCTCATAGTCAGGATCCCACATGCAATTCCTGGGGGGGAAGGGGGAGGGGAGGGGAGGGGAATCTGCTTTCTTCTCCTAACTCAGTGGGGCACCCACGGCATGGCCCACTGACTACCCTTCCCCCAGGACAGTTTCCCAAAGTTCTTCAACCCAATCTCCAGCCCCAAATTCCACTTCCCCATCCCTACCCTCGAGGGGCAGGTGCCTGAAATTCTTAGAAGCAGGTGGGGCAGGGGACTTAAACAATAGGTTCCTGGACCTGCCAGATCTGTGCCACAACTGGGGAGACTCTTTGAACCCTTGATCTCCCTGTGGCCCCACCCCCTAACCACAAGCCTACTTACTCCCCTCCATCCCTGCCACCATTACACCAAACCTCGTGTCTCCTGATCTCCTCAGGGAACCCTGGCATCCCTCTTCAACTCGCCATCAAAGTTGATCTGCTCTGTAGAGATCATTTTCTGTACTTTCTTTAGTCTAATACCCTCATGATTCAGTTTCCCAACAGATGGTGCTGAAAATGACTTGGTTTCCTAACAGGAACTGGGGGACGGGGGAGGGGAGGGGTCCTTCAAAGACTGACATGAACTCAAGTCACTGGTGGTATGCTTACTGATTCTTCAGGAAGAGGTGTATGGGTCATTAGCAAAACTGGAACCTGCATTCATTAACATTAACCTTGGAGCCAGGATATTCTAACCAGGCCACCCAGCTCAATGCTATCTCCGGGACTCTGTCCAGAAGCTACATGCTGCTTTCTAGAAGAAATGTGAGTCCCTCATGAGTTCCCCTTCTGGCCATCTCCAGTCCTCCCAAGCCTCTGCCACGCTCCCAGGGGCTTTACCTGGCCCGACTCCCACTTTGATGATATCAGCTCCAGACAAGATGAGCTCTTCCACCATCTCTCCTGTCACCACATTCCCGGCCTGGGACAGAAAGAACACAGCTTGTGACCATGAATGCAACTTCCCACCACAACTCCAGGATGTGTGTGTGTGTCCACAAGAGGGATGCAGCACATGGAACCCAATTCCTTATCACTGGAAAGCAAATGCTTCCAAGGAAACACTAGATCATCTCCCAGCTGAGAAAATACTTGAGTGTCTGGCCCTGGGCTGGGCTTTCAAACTAGATCTGAAAGAGCAGGTGATTCTTCATAGATCTCCTGCTGTTGGCACATGCTCCAGCCACAAAACACAAAGCTTTGGTCCTAACAATAGGCTCACAAGCCAGAAAGTAGTAAAATCAACCCATCAGAACCGTGCATCTGGGTTGGAAACAGAGGAGTCTAGAACACAAAAATAACTGTTTATTACAACACTCTGCCCTGTGGATTCTTCAACTTGTACAGAATATTTGGCAAGATGCCCTATATGGAGAATTCTAGTGGTGTAATTCCTTAGAAAAGCTAGGTCACAGTCCAACAAAATGAATACCAGGAAACAGGGACTCCAAAGGTGAAGGGGTGGGAGAATGCAGTCAGAAAATTCTATGCATATCCTACAAAATGAAGAAAATTGAGGAGCGCCGTTGGGAAGGAGGGGGTGAATGGCGAAAGGGGTGACCTGGATCAAGATGCAATGTGTCCATAAACTGCTTTGTTGAATGGCAATTCTTTTGTAACAACTACTTAAAGATAGTGAAAAACCAATTTTGGGTTTTTTAACCTAGACCAAGTGACTTGAACTTCCTAGAAGGGTTATAGGAGTGATGAGGCTGGTCTAGAGCTGACAATGGAGGAAAGCCCAGTAACAGGGCTGTCTCAAAGAAGTCCCCTAAAGTCAAAAGAAAACTTGGAATACCTTCAATAACTGAAGGCAAAAAAAAACAACTCTACATAAAATATTAACTACTTGCAAGCATATAAACACACACACACATATAGTCAACAAATATAGGCTATTATATAAGAAAAATATGTGCTATTGTAACAAAGGGCCCCAACCTCACCACAAAAGGCTAGGAAGTAGCTCTGCCTGTAAATCCCAGCTATGCAGGATCAAAGTTCAAAGCCAGAGGGCTGGGAAGTTGGCTCAGTGGTAGAGCGCTTGCCTTGCAAGCCTGAGGCCCTGGGTTTGATTCCTCAGCACCATATAAGCAAAAAAAAAAAGAAAAGAAAAAGAAAAAACCGAAGTGGCACTATGGCTCAAGTGGTAGAGCGCTAGCCTTGAGCTGAAGAGCTGAGGGACAGCGCCCAGGCGCAGAGTTCAGGCCCCACAACCGGACCCCAAAAAAAAAAAAAAAAGTTCAAAGCCAGACGAGGCAGACAAAATCACAAGTGTCTTATAGCCAATTAACCAGGAGAAACAGGAAGTGGATGTATGGCTCACATGGAACAGTACCAGCCTTTAGCAAAAGAGCTAAGTAAAAGCACAAGGCCTTGAGTTCAAGCCCCCGTACTGGTGAGTGCTCTCACACTCTCTCTCATACTCTGCCTCTGTCTCTGTCTGTCTCTCTCTCTCATATGAATCCATAAGTAAAACACTGACACCTCACAGGATAATTTCCAAAAGATACAAACAATAAAAGAAAGAAAAGCAATTTAGGAAAATGGGGCATATGTCCAGCTTCAATAATGAGCACAATTAACCAACCAATGCTGGCCTGCTTGTCACTTAACAAATGATCAGTCGATATAAACAATAAATATGGAAAGACAAAACATTAGATAGACTCTTGCTGCTGGTAGAATGTTTATTTTTATCCAAGTTTTCTTGGAAGGCAATTTGTCTACATAAAAGAAATGCAAAAACAATATGCATATGCTTCGATTCATTAATTCTAAGATGCTCTCCCAATGAGATCATAAATGAGGACAGAGATTTGCAAAGATACATCGAGTCTAACCGTGTAAAACTTCATATATATTCCCATAATAGGAAAGGCCTGACAATTAATGGTCCATCCATGTGACTGGGGGAACAGGAGGTATGGGTGGGGATAGAACGCAGGGCTTCATGCTTGCTAGACAAGTGCTCTCCCACGTAAGCCAACTCCAGCTGATATTCTGAAGACTGATTTAATGGCATAGGAAAATCCTGACTGCTTTCAGTGTAATGCTGAGAGAAATGGTAAGAGTTCAAATTTTGTTTAAAATTTATGATATATATATATATATGTATATAAAAGTAATACACCAAAAACACTAGCAAGGGCTGGCAAGGTGACTTAGTGGTAGAGTAGTTGCCTAGTATTCATGAAGCCCTGGGTTCGGTTCCTCAGTACCACATAAAAAAGCCAGATGTGGCACTATGGCTCAAGTGGTAGTGTGCTAGTCTTGAGCAAAAGAAGCTCAAGGACAGTGCCTGGCCCTGAGTTCAAGCCCCAAGACTGGCAAACAACAACAACAAAAACACTAACAAATTAGGTAAAGGGATTACCTCACTTTTATAACTAAATAGGAAGTCTTTGGTTTAAGTTTTCATTTGGCTTTGGTTTTGGGTTTCATTTACTTATTTGTTTGCTCTTTTGTTTCATAATACTGGGGACTGAATTCTGAGCCTCACTTGCTAAATAAATGTAATACCACTTTGAGCCACACTTCAAGTCCTCTTGTTTTATATTTTGTTTCTGAGACAGTCTCCCTAACTTTGCCTGGACTGGCCTCAAATCTCAGAATCCCTTGCTTCCTGACTCGATGGGATTATAGGCACACAACACCAAGCCCAGCCTTGGTTTTGATTTTTGCAGTGCAAGAAACAACCTGAATTCTGTACCTGAGAAAGAGCTTAATTGAACCATGAGAAACAAGAGCTCTTCCTCATTGGCTGACTTAAATTTTTTTATTATCTTTATTTGTACAAAGGAAGTGCCATTTAACAAAGCATCTTGATCAGTGTCACCTCCTGCAAAATTCTCACCCTCCTTTGACCCACTCCTTCCCTTTTAATTTTGTGGGTATACAAATGAATCCTTGACTGCATTCCCTACTTCTTCCCCCTTTCATTCCTGTCCCCCTCTCCCCTTGGTCCCAACCCCCTCTTGCGTGCACCCATTTCCTGGTGCTGATTTTGTTTTGCTTTGACCTACTCTTTTGTTGTTGTTGGTCATGGGGCTTGAATTCTGGGCTTGGGTGCTATCCCTGCACTCTTCAGCTCAAAGCAAGTGCTCTAACACTTGAGCCACAGAGTCACTTCCAGTTTTCTAGTGGTTAATTTCAGATGAGTCTCACAACTTTTCTGCCTGGGTTAGCTTTGAACCATTATCCTCAGATCTCAGCCTCCTGAGTAGCTAGGATTACAGGCGTGAACCACCAGCGCCCGGCTGACCTAGTCTTTTGAAACATACTATCTGAGGTCACCATAAGTCAATTATATTTTAGTTCATCCATTTGTAACCACTTGGATACCACCCAATGTGTTTACTTAAAGATTTATAGGTACATTCTACCTATCACAAATGAGGGAAATCATGCAACCTTTGTTTCTCTGGGTCTGGCTTACTTCACTTAATATAATTTTCTAAGTCTTTCCATTTACTTATGAATGATATCCTAATAAATGAGTAAAAGTCCATTATGCTTATGTACCACATTTTCTTATTCCATTCATCCAGTGAGGGGCATCTGGTGGTTTCCACATCTTGGCTCTAGCAAACAATTCTGCAATGAACATGGTTGTGCTGGTGGCTTTACTGTAACCTGGTTTGTGTAACGTTGTTTTTTTTTTTTACAACTTAAAACACCACTTTCATTTTCACCATGGATTCTTCTTGCTCTAATCTGCTACTTCCTAGAAACCATTTTACTTTCTAGAACCTGTAATCCTAGTACTCAGGAAAGTGAAATCTAAAGATCATAGTTCAAAGCCAGCATGGACAGAAAAGCTCATGAGATTCTTATCTCCAATTAATCTCTAAACTGACAGAAGTAGAAGTGGGGATAGAGGGGTAACAAACCAGTTCTGGGCAAAATAGCTAAGGTACAGTGCCTAAGCCATGAGTTCAAGTCCCAGGACTGACGTACACATGGATATATGCACATATGAATACACAGATATATGCACATATGAATACATAAACACACACACACACACACTAATACAGATACACATATATGACTCAAGAGCATTCCCATCCCTTCCTCCATGTGAGAACACAGGAAAACACAGACAACTCTAAACTAGGAAGTACTTCTCACCAGACACCTAACTGGCCTTGAACTTGGACGTCTAGTTCTTCAAAAAGTAAGAAATAAATTTTTGATATTTATCAGCTCAGTTCATGCTATCTTGTGATAATAACTTCACCAGACCAAAGCTGTTTGATCTCATTTTTTTCCAGCTTTCCTTTAGGTACCCTTATCTATAATAAACAAAACTCATAAAAACCCAGGATGTACTGTAGCCCTCCTCCTCCTGGGCAGTTATGAGCAAGTCACTTCAACCCTGAGGCTCAGCTTGTCTAGCTGAGGACAGCTTGGGGACCAGCATACCTACCTGTGGTCATCATAAGCTGTCTACATAAAGCTCTACCAAACCCTAGCCCAGGGCCTGGCTCTCAGTGACCCCAGGAAATGTCAATCCCTCCTCTTAACAGTAATTTCCAGCTTTTTTCTCAGCTCTTTCCTTCTCAGTTCTTTCCCAGCTCTCTTAGCATTTTTTCCTAGCTCTCTCTTTCCCTGCTCTCTTTCCCAGTTCTCTCTCTACCTCTTTCCCAGCTCTTTCCCACCTCTTTTCCTACCTCTCTCTTTCTCAGGTCTTTCCCAGGCCTTTCCCAGCCACGTGGAGTGCCAACCTGGCCTGGTCCCTGCAGGTCTACTGAATAAACCTACCCTTTACCTGAAAAAAAAAGGAGTAATTTCCATATGCAGCTCTTCCCACACCCAGTTTTGAGATTTTGTGTATTTTTGGTCAAAGTCACAGAACAGTTCCAACTATTTTTAAGTGTACTGCTCAAGGACAGCAAGTACATTCATACAGTTGTACAA